GGTGGGCAACCCTGTTCAAGTTAACAGTAAATCAGTTGTTTTTATCATTTTAGTATTATAAAAATCCTTATAGCTTGATAAATTACAATAATTTCCATGACCTATTAAGATATTCAAAATGAAATAATTAGCCATTCAGCAGTCCATTCATCTATACATAGTCGATAAAATACAAGCCCTCAGAAAAAATATCAGAAGACAGGAATAGCAAAAGGAGATATTTAAGTTGAAAAAATCTTCATCTTTTATTTATTATTATATATGTATATAACTAACTGAATTAAACATTTAAATTTCTTTCATAAGTGTCAAAATGTCCATTTTTGAAATTATTAAATAAAAATATACATTATCAGGTTTATTCAACTTAAATAGTGGCCCAAATATATTCTAATAACTGCATGGTTTTATATTACTTCCTATAATCAGTCTGTCCCTCTTCCCACACTCCCACATAGGATCTGGCCTTTAACTTGGATATAAAAATAATGTACTAAGAGGGCTCACCATTGTCCAATTTCATTTTAAATGAAATGCATATGGAATGATTAATTTTGTGTAAAGGGGAACTTAGTAATACTCTGTGAGAATTTTCTAAAAATTATTAATATTAGTTTAATATATTTTTATTGATTTCAGAGAGGAAGGGAGAGGGAGAGAGAGATAAAGACATCTGTGATGAGAGAAAATCATTGATTTTAGCTGCCTCCTGCCTGTCCCGAGCCTGCAACCTGGGCATGTGCCCTTGACTGGAATTGAACCGGTGCCCTTCAGTCCACAGGCCTATGTTCTCTCCACTAGCCAAGCCAGCTAGGGAAAATATCTAAAAATATATAAAAAAAATATATCTGCAGTGCTTTCCATATGTATTTTATATTTTATAACCTGTGACCTGAGGGGGAAAGTTTAGGGAATTAGAAACAAATAAAAGGCAACCACCTCTTATGCTGGACCAAAATTCCTGGACATTAAATCCTCACTGTAGCTACACCGAACATTTATTCAGAGTGCTCATGTTTCATTACAACCACTATATACTTCTTGGGATAAACCATCTAGACTAAATATTGGATGTGGGGGCTTTTTATTATCAAATGTAGGTCTAAAAAATTCTATTGTTATGTTATACCTACAGCTGTGTTACAACTGCTGCTGCTTTTCTGACCACTCTCACTACTATATTCCATATATTAATGCCTGCTAAGTGCCAATTGCTGGATATGTTCCATGCCACACCCAAATTCTCATGCCAGTCCCTCTAGGTTGGTATTAGTTCCCTGCAGTCTCTGAGAGGTTACATGACTTACCCAAGTCACAAAGCCAGTGAGGATTCTCTCCCCACAAAAACTAAGTTACAAAATTGTATCTCTAGTACAACTAATTAAGGATAATTTCCAAAACAGAAGAAAACAAAAGCTTACAATCATTCCAAATGAACTTCATAACTCTTAGAAGAAAATAAAATAATTTTCTTATTTTTTCTTTATTACCATGACTCATGTAATTGTTTACCAGATTTTGGAAACGAGCACTTTATCATGCTCAGAGTGAGTGAGCATCACTTTCTTTGTATGTTCTCCCCATTCCAGTTCTGAAAAAGTGAACTATGTGAGATGTTGGGAGGTGACACGGGGGTTTTGTTTTTGAAGAACATGAAGGATGGCTGCTGACGAGGTGGTGAAGAAGGACTTCTAACCACGTGCATAGGCCCACATTTGAGAATGGATCAGGGTGACAAGAAAAAACGGTAGCAAGAGCATTTGGTAGAAAATATCAATAATACCCAGTAAGGAATTTACTATGAGGTTGAACATTACTAATATTTTTCACTCTCCTCCTCATCAGCACATAAGTGTGTTCAAGTCTCTCACACCTTCAAAGCAACAATGGTGAGAAACTCCAAATCCTCTTTGGCTGTACCTTCAACTGAATTGAAAGCAATACCAGAAGCCAACTTTTCCCTAAAGCATGACTCTGATGTAGGGAATATTACATTGCAGGGAGGAAAATACCTCTCTTCCAGCATTTTCACTTTCAGCAATTGCTCATGACATGCACTAAATTCAAGCTATTTATATAAACCATGAGTTACTGTATTTTAATTTCATATGGTCTGCAATGACCTCAAACTTTTGGTATAAAATTTTACATTTCTTATTCACAAGGTTTACTTGGGAATGCATGTTGTTCTAAAATTTCCCGACTTTCAGGCCTTTCAAACCTGCCTTGAGACACGTGATTCCAGCTAGAAGTACATTAGAAGAAGTTTAAGTTTAAAAAATGTGGCTCTTAAAAGAAATTTCAATTGTTGTACTGTTGATATTTGGCTCTGTTGACTAATTAGTTTGCCAACCACTGGACTAGGAGAATGGTGGAGTTACAAAAGACCTTTGAAATCATTTAATCCAATCTCATTTTCCTGGAGAGGAAGCACAGGTCCTATGAGATGAGGTTGAAACAGAGGCCCTGTGACAGGAGGTTGCTCAACATCACCCAACTAGCTAAAGGTTTTATAGTGACAAAAAACTTGGGGATTCCAACTGCAGGCTGATGTCTGCATGTCATGAACATATTCTGTAAATGACCCTAACATATTGTAGGTAGTAAACTGTTCAATAACAATCAATAAAAATGCTACAATTAGCAATTGTTTTTTAATGAAATATGTTGCACCATAGTTTGAGTTGTACCATCACATATTAAGTTTTATACTATTCGAAACATATATTTTAAAACTTTGAAGTAGAAATACCATGTTTCCCCGAAAATAAGACATCCTCCTAAAATAAGACCTACTTACAGGTTTCCTTCTGAGTGAAATATAAGGCATCCCTCCGAAAATAAGGCCCCCCCTAGGCTAAACATGAGAGATTTGGTCCACTGATTCTGAAAGAAATGGAGTCACAAGAAATTCACCAGGAAATTCAGGAATTGGATTGTTATGATGATGTTCCAGAAGATGATGACATAATTGTCATTGAATAGATGAGTAAATTCTTGATTCGGTAGGATTAACAGTTTGTCTGGTTTGTGTTGACAACTACCGTACTACCGTACCGTATACAGGTAATAAATTACCTTTATTTTCATTTAACAATAAATGTGTACCGTATTCTTCTTCATGAAAAAATAAGACATCCCCTGAAATAAGACCTAGCGCATCTTTGGGAGCAAAAATTAATATAAGACACTGTCTTATTTTCGGGAAAACAGGGTAACACTTCTTTATTTAAAAATTAGTGGGAAACATAGATGAAAAAACCCTGATATTTGTTGACACCTTACAAACAGTCTACATACGTTACAGTAGTACATTTAGCTATGTTATGCATTTGGTTTCTTGCATAGTTTCAAAAGTGTTTTAGAAGAGAGCAATACTTTAAGTGGAGTCAGCTGGAGTTTTAAAAGGTATTTTAAGAAATCGCAAACTTATTTTGCCTTCTTGCATTCTCAAGAGTTCTGACTGGTTAATATTCACCATTGCTTAAGTCCTCTTAAGATCCAAAGTTACTGTTAGACTGAATTTAATGAACCCATCAAAATCACAGAAGAATTTTCTTTCGCCTCCTCCAACACCTTATTTCTTCTTAGTCAAGGGAGGTAAATGCTTCTGTGAAGCAGAACACTGGTGAAACTGGATTAAGTGTGGTTGAAATGGTCAGTTGTGGCTTTGTCTCAATCATGTAGCTCTTCTATGCCTAAAGAGGCTACTGCTTGTCTACTAGGAGAACATTCTAGAGTGCTAGACCTTTCATTCATCAACAAATGGGCATACTTCATTCAGAAACACTGAAAATGTCACAGAACCAAGAGTTTACTCTTCTGTCTTGGGGTAGGGGTAGGGTGACGAAAGTAGACATTTTTACTTTATTCCCTAATAACATCCAGCATCTCCTCCTTGCTAAATCCTTTGTGAATCTGGGACATCTCCACTGACACAGGTGATCTTTCAGGTCTTAATAACTAGTCTGCATTTAGCCACAATTCCTGTGAGCATAGTGTCATGTTCATGGAGGGAAAACTGAGGAAGCAAGTCTTAAGCCACCTGATGCCACATCATTTTAAAAATATATATATTTTATTGATTTTTTTTACAGAGAGGAAGGGAGAGGGATATAGAGTCAAGAACATCGATGAGAGAGAAACATTGATTCAGCTGCCTCCTGCACACCTCGTACTGGGGATGTGCCCGAAACCAAGGTACATGCCTTTGATCAGAATCAAAGTCCACAGGCCGATCCTCCATCCACTGAGCCAAACCAGTTAGGGCCTGATGCCACATCTTGATAATATCTTGCCTTTTATAGATATTATATATAGAACTGGGCAAGCGGTGTGGGATGACCTCCAAGATTTCTGCCTATTGCTACATATGCCTTGGACAATCCTCTCACCTCAAGTGTGGGCAGGACTTGTGGATGCGATGAGATAGTAAGCCCCGTGATTACAGTTAAGACTTCATCTTAGCAGATGAGGGTGGGGGGAGAGGAGAGAGAGAAGAGAGCAAGAGAGGCAGAGAGGGAGAGAGAGAGAGAGAGAGAGAGAGAGAGAGAGAGAGAGAGAGAGAGAGAGAGAGAGAGAGAGAGAGAGAGAGAGAGAGATATTCCTCTGCTGGCCTTGAAGAAGCAATAGCTGTGCTGTAAAAGGGCCACGTGGTGAGGGAGGCCCTCGCTCAGAGTGCTCCCAGTGGACAGTTAGTAAGGAAACAGGAATCCCACTCTACAGCTGCAAGCAAGAAACAGCCAACAACTTGAAAGAGCTTGGAAGTGATCCTGACAGTGTTCAGATGAGAACATCATCTGGCTGACTCCTCGTGAGACCCTGAGCAGAAGACCCTGCTCTGATCCCTGAGCTACACAACACCTGCACTAATAAATGGGCATTGTTTTAAGCCACTAAGCTTGTGGTCATATTTTTATGCAACAATAGAAAACTAATAAAAGCAAAGACAGACAATGTTACAACCATTTCACCAATAAGAAGACTTGTTCAGAAAGATGACTGGTTTGCTTAATTTTATTTTGAAAATTAGTGACAGGACTGAAATTGGTACCTTAGACCCTCATTTATACTCTGGCATTTTTTTTCCATAGTACTCCCCACCCTACTGCTCCACACTAATGAATATTATTGATAGAATTTCTTTACCCCTGCCCATAAATAAGATAAATAATAAAAAGTCTGACATATTTTTTTGCTTCATACCGCTCATCTCAAAGTACAATTATTTTATTAAATTTTCACATCAGTTCTTTAGTATAATAAAAAGCATTAATCAAAATCATATTAAGTTTCAAGTTGACAAGTTTTAAAAGAATCTTCAACCAGATGTCAATCTTCATCACTAAACAAACAATATTCTGAATAGTCAAGATCAGGAAATGTGATAGGTAATTCTACCCATTTTTTGTATTGCTTCTTTGTTGCATTATTTTTGAAACACACTACAAAGTTTTTTATTTTGAGACAAGGCAAATCTAAGCCTTTGTGCACCATCATCGTTCCCCAAGCCTGGAAAACAAAAGAGAGAACAAAAAGAAAGAAAAAAATTTACATTAAATTAAGAATTCCTTTTGGCCAAAGCAGAAATGAACCCGCAGCTATATACTCACCTGGCCACATGTTTTGCAGATAATCTCACCATTTGTTTGATAGTCTGCAAACTTCTTTTTCAGTGCTTTGTTTTCTCTCATAATGTAGAGTTCCCTAAAATTACCAAGGCGTAAGAAACATCCCTGAGCATTTGCAAATGACCACTATGCAGCCCACAAGTACATGTTGTTGAACTTGGCACTCATCCTCAGTCAGATGCCCCTTTCCACATCCACCTTTCCAGGGGCATGTTGCCTTTTGTGGCTTCTTTCCATCTATTAATTATTTTAACTTGACTTGAGTTGTTCAAAATTTTGAGAACAAATATAAATATATACACACTGACATGCCTTTGATCAAAATAGCTTGAAGTACATATTACACTTCTTCCTCCCTCCCCAGTGCAGCATATTTGAAAACCAGACATTTGAAATATACAATTTGGGGAAGTTAAAAGAAAAAAGTTCTGAAAAATAATAAATAATATTTGTACTGTTTTGGAAGAACATTTACAATACAACCTGCTTCACATCCCATAAGGAAACTTAAATGGACTCTCCTTGAACTTACTTGAATTCTGGTGTCATATTGACATGGTGCATTTTCTCAATCACATGGATATGGTCTCCAGTGCAGGCGACCACACTGCAGTTTTTGCAGAGGAAACTTATTACCGATGGGTTTGCCTTGCAATGCTTTGCAATACTTCTCTTGATTTTCATTTTCTTTTCCATTATACTTTGCATCTGCAATTCCAAAATCTGCATCGAGAAAAGAATATTCTGTGGGTTTTTTATTCATTGTCTCACTGAAGAGCTTTGAATTCAGAGACCTTAGATTGTTGTGAAAACATTCTCTTAGTTTATGTCCTAGAAGTTGAAATAATTAGGCAATGGCCCACATACAACTTAGTATATAGACCTTCATGTAATAATTAAAATGTGGGACCCTAAAAAGTAGACCTTCTATTTTTTTAAAAGTTCTATTGTGAGAAAGTCCTTAGCAATATTTGGCAAACAACAACAACAAGAAAAACCTCCCCATCTTCCCACCTCTTTAGTTTTAATTGTCTCATTAAATCTAAACTTTCTTCCATATGAATCTCTTTAAGAACTAAACATTGTTACTACATCACCCATAGTCTTCTCTTAACTATGACAATCCCCACCCCCGTTTCTTTCGTTGTTTCTCATTTAACTTCTAGACCCTTCGTTATCTTAGCAAATCTCCTTAGCGACTTCTCTTCACTTTTGTAACAGAAACTACCAGTTTACAATCTAGTAGTCATTTTTCCTAGGAACAGAACCATAATTTTATTCTGGGTGGAAATATGCTAGCTAAATGACTATATTTCCAAGCCAGTGGTCAATGAGACGCAAGAAAATGTTAAGTGGTGTTTCTCCTATGTATGTGTACTTTTGCCTTTTCCATTTTTTTCTCCTTCCTGCATAGAATAAGCATGTGGCAGCTAAAATTCTAAAAGCTATTTTTGACCCTGGGAATGGAAGCCAAGTACTCAAGGGTGGAGAAGAGGCCTGAGGTCCTCCTACCATCATGAAGCTACCAACTGACTTTAGATTGTCCAGATTCTTGATTTGAGAGAATAAGCCCTTAGGCCATACATTCCAGGCTCTGTGACTAGAGGCCAAACTTATTTCATCACATATACCATCTGGTTTAGTGAGCTGATTAAATGATGATTTGGCATAGGATCACATACATGTGGGCAATTACGACACACCTATGAGTTCAATGAGAAAAATAAAAGTAAAACCAAGATCAATGTATGGATATGTAACCAGGACACCAGAAACTAAAAGATTGGCCCTAAAATAGTAAAGCATGTAAAGTAATTAGAGGGAGAAAATTATGATAAATATATGACAAGCACAGCTACAAAAGACTGTCTGTTGAACCGCAGAGGGAAGGCAGGGGAGTGTGGGTGAGAAGAGATCCACCAATGAACTTGTATGCAGATATGCATAATCCATGGACCCAGAAAATAGAGTGGTGAAGGCCTGGAGGGCTAGGAGAAGTCAATGGGGGAGGAGGAGGAATTATGGAATCCTTTTAACAATAAAGATTAAAAAAAAGAAAAAAGTCCAAATAAATTGTAATACTGTAGTAAAAGTTGTTGGGTCAATGCCAGGGAAAGTTTAACATCTCTATTTTTAGAAGCTTTCAGTTATGTATAAACTCTGCATCAGACATGGAAACTCACTTATGCGTCAGCTCTTACCATTAATTTTCAGCTACCCAGCACTAAGTAAATCGGAGGGTTCTCAAATTGGAGGAAAGGAGAGCTGTGATCTACTAGTAACATCTACTACGGGCTTTGAACAGAGAGTGGTGGCAGGTGCCTCTCATCATTTGCCATCCCTGCTCTGAGTTTGTCCACCTGAAGTAGTTTTAGGAGGGCGGATCACTTAGTCAAGAGACCTAAAAAGATAGTCTATTCTGGAGTTCCAAAAGGGACTGTGTCTTATTCTAGATATTGTCTGGACAAAATTGACTCAAACTTTAGAGACTGTTCTAGAGTTTACCCAATACAACTAGTCTCCAAATATCAATTTTTGAAAACAGCCACTTGATCTCACTCATTTAGGACCATAAATGTAAGGCAATGACTTTCCAGTGACATTATTTGGCCACAAATGCTTGATTTGACACTGCAGCATGTTTGGTTTGCCTTGTGTTTTGAAAGGGTTTTAAAATACACGTTGTGTGTAGAAACCTGGCCAGGAAGCCTTGGAGTTGGTTATAGCAATGCACACCAATGTGAAAGCAACCCTTTCGTGAAACTCTATTTAGGGTAGAGCCGATTCCAATGTTAAGAAACTAACATTCACACCCATATGCAAGGGTGTGAATTTTCTTCTAAATGGATTGTTTGCTATTATAGTACTTACAGTCTTTAATTCAGTGGTATGGGGGATTTCCTGAAATATTGCAGAAATACTTTCTTCTTTCGCGGCATTCTTCTCACCACCCAAATAACTCTATGTTAGTAAACTGAGATGCTGCTCGATGATATAGTATGCATTTTCTTTTTATTGAGGTGTAGCCTAGACTCACTCCCTCTAAGAGGCCTTTCCCAGCTATTCCGTCTAAAGTACCTATCTAGTGACCTTTTCCACGTCATCCCTTCCTAATTTTCCAGCACTTGTTTCTACATGGTATAGTTCTTGCTTCATTTCTGTTTATTATTTCTCCTCATCAAATCCTCAAGTCTCAACATGTATACATTAGAATATAAGCTTCATGCTGCAGGGGCCTATCTTCGTTGTCTATCTGTTTTCTATTTCTAGAACGTTCCCCGGCACACAGGAGACATTTTATAAATATTACTGGAATGAAAAAAAACAACATGCCTGTGTAACCATATTGAACCAAGCCAGAATTATCAGGTTGGGTTAAATGGACGAGTTATACTAGTCCTTCTGGATCAAGGGCAGCTTAAATTTATATTACCAAAGTTTATGGCTGGTTCCACTGGAATGGCTCCCTGACAATTCCTGCCCAATATGGATCCTGGTTCTTTGTATGTGAATCTGGTCTAAGCATAGCTCATCAAACTGGAACTCATACTTTGTCACTTTTTCTGTCTGGAGACTCGGCCACAAAGAAATCGATGGTCAACCGCATGCAGCCATTTTAAACTCAGAGAGGCACCCAAACAGTACCTTATGAGCATACTCCTCTGGCTTCATATTTTGAACACGGTCTATAGCTTTATACATCATTTGCTCTCGGAAGTCATTAACGGTCTCACGTTCAACAACTCCCGAGCCGCTGTGGGCAACCAGGACGTAGGTGCTCTCATCGGCTCTGGCTCGACCGCGGGCCTGAGGACAGAGGGAAGTCATGTAAAAGAAAGGCTCTGGATCAACGCCTAACCAACGAACATGAACACCAGCGGGGGGAGGACATGAATGGGGGTGGTGGTTGGAGGGTTAATTGAGGGATGAGGACTCATATGTAATACCTTAATCAATAAGGAAATTAAAATTAAAAAAAAGAAAGGCTCTGCCTTGCTGAGATCTCCCCCTTTTTTGTCCTGGAATGATATTCACTGCTCAGTGTCCCAGCCTTCCAATGCTCTCTTAATTGTTAGTAATGTTTATAAGACAATCATTCAAAACTCAAAATGCACTTGAATGCAGAAACAATGTTCTTGAATGATGATAATTAGGTCCCCACAACTCTCAAAAGCCTCAATAACACGATACAGTCCTGTCCAGCCTTTTGGTACCCTGGGGTCCCTCTCTCAAACTCTAGGAACCAGCAGCAGTGATGTGGACTAGGGGAGCCCACTCCCTCCCACCAGTGAGGATGGATGGATGAGCAGAAGGGGCCTCTCTGACCTTGACACCAGGGCCCTGGAGCGTGCAGCTCTGTTCTAGCACCTTCCATTGGATTTTGAACACATTTCCCCATGAAAACACACTCAACATGGTGATAAACTTCCATAGCCCTCTTTATAAAGTACTATTCAAATACATTTTGAGTAATAGAAAATTGTGTGGCCTGGCCCAGAAACATATCAGCTCTCATGCTATACTCATGAAAAATGCATTCTGAGTTACAAACAACTAACAAGTCAACTCCTGCCATATAATTATGTCCTGATTTGGTGCCTGCTGAGAGATCTTAGTCCCCCAGGACTTGTCTTCCATTCAAGATGCAACTTAAAGTATAAAACAACCCTTTTATTACTTTTATGGGAAGAATATGAAGCACAACCCCTATGCTTTCTCAACAAAAGGTAACAATTGTATTGTTAACATAATGTGGACAAAAGATAAAGTAAAATTGAATGAAAACTGAACATTTCACTTTTTTCTCTTTCTTTGCATCTATATATATGTCTGCCTCCCACCCATCACCATTTTATTATGAAAAAATTTAAACATACAGAAGTTGAAAGCATAAAAAAGGAAAATGCAGAAACAGCAGAGCTCCCTGAGGTTTCACGTGTCACTTTGTTGGACATTTGTGGGCTGCTGTGCTTTAGACTCCTGGCCCAGCTGGGAGCTCACAGATATCCTGGAAATGAGAAGGCCTACTTTGATTCTTACAGATGGGGCTAGCTCCATGTTCCTAAAAAGTCTTAGGACACAGAAATAACAACCAAAGAAGAGTTTCTGTTTAAAAAGACAACAGCTTTCTGGCTGTGATAGGAATTAAACAAAAGGCAGTAGTGCACAGCCCTTCAAGATTTCTCTCTTTTTGTTTAATTGAGGTTTAATTGACATGCATTACTTTTAGGTGTGCAACATAATGATTTGATATTTGTATACATTATGAAATAATTTCTCTTTTCAGAGGAAAACAGCTATATTTAAAAAAAAAACACTACGTGTGCTGTTTTACTAAATAGAACAACTAAAATAAAATAAGAACACACAATTTTAAAATGAATAGAAAACAAAGTTTAAAAATTAATAGAGTAGAGGTATTTGAATGTACCTGGACCATGGCTATTTCATTAGTGACGAGACCATAACGGATAATGATATTGCATTCTTCAATATCCAGACCTTCTTCAGCTACAGTGGTTGCGATAAGCAGATTTATTTTTCCTGTGCGAAATTTACTAATGACTTCTCTTTGTTCATTCTGTAGAAACATTTTAATAAATTAAATTTTGTGATGCTAACCACATTAAAATCATCTAATTAGGAGAAGAAATAATAAATTGCAACTGGTCAGTGTAAATCAAAGGATTAGATCAGACACGGATTTGATGCCATCTGTTTTTGTCATTGAACAAAGACCTGATGGTGAGACAACATTTGATTCCCAATCTGGGATTATCTCACAATAACAAAAATATTTCCGTCTCCCAGTCTGGAGGTGGGAAGATCATTGATGCCAAGGAAATCAATTGATGGGCAATTTGGGAGGAAGAAAGGAAGAGATGAGGAACTTAAAAGTGCTTTGCTTTTCGGAATCTCTAATATTCAAAGCATAGCATGCAGTGACACTTCTAAAAATGGTTGTGTCTTGAGTGATCAAGAAATGCACCCTGTACACAATTGGTCACACTAAGAGGCATTCAAGCCAGAAATGTGTGGAATATTCCAGGATGGACACGTGAGAAACTGAAAACACTGGATTGCCTGCAAAAGAGAGAGCTAGAAAACTGGAGGACCGTGATGGGCCCTGTGCCATATTAATTTTCAAAGAAGTAAATATCTGTTCAAAGGGGTGACACAGATAAAAATGAAAGAATAAGTTATCAAAACACAATTAAAGCAATTACATTTCAATTTAAGAAGCTGGAATTCTGAAAGTTAACATAAATACAGAAATTAATTATGCTTTCTGGCCCTTGCATCAGAGGAATGGGGGAGCATAAACCTCGCCCCATATGGCTAGCATAGTTTTATTTTCATAATCACTCTCATCAAAGCTGTTGGTCCAGTTTGCCTATGGTGCACATTCACACCATCTCTTGCCCCCATACTGCAAGCAAAAATAAACATGTCAGACTGACAGTGTTCTCCCATCCCTTCCTTTCTTCTCAGAGGCAGCATGTGCCTTCATCTGACTCTTAACTGCTGTAAAATCTGCAAAAGCTCCCTACTTAGTCTTCGATAATTCCTCCCTCTTGCACATATGTCTATGATAAAAAAAACAACAACGTACATGTCCTTTAACAGAAGATGTCTGTGCCTTAATTCAAAGGAGTAACTTTAATAAGAAGAATTTCAGGCACAGTGTGAGACACCTTCCCCCATCCGGAAAAAAAAAATAAAATCAAGAGTTAGGCAACTTCTCTCCCAGTAAGCTCAGCTCAGTTTACAAGAGGAGGTTGTGGGGAGTGAGGAAAGGGGTGTGTGCTATATTCGCATGTTGCCCCAAGTCCTAAATGAATAAGTAGCAAAAAGTAGCTTGAAAATATATTTTCCAATTGTACTTCACCCTTTTTTTTTTTCCAAAGAGGAACTGAGGCCATATACAAAGTCATCGCACTCAAACTAATATAACAGAAAAATAAAAACAGGACCAAAAGCGGCCAACTGTAGATGTATTACTTGTAAGAATTAATACAGAGGCTGTGAGACTAAACTTCAGTTTTTTCTGTAAGGATTCCTAGAATCTAGGGCAAAAAGAGAACCATATTAACTAAACTAGCTCTCATCAATAAGAAGCAAGCTCCTTACCCATGAAAACCAATGCTTTCCCTGGAATTAATTTGAGAGGCAATTTTAACATGAGTCCAGTCCATGTAGAGAGTATATTAAAAGTTATAGTGGACAATTTCAAGAACTTTTCAGCAAAGGCTGAAACAAATTTACTTTGCTCCATTGAGCATATCAGAATCGAAGTGCCCTGTTGTCCAGCAAGATTCAGGATTCATATGACTTTAGGAGAACATTTTAATCTAACAAGCCACATGCGTGTAACGTCTACAAGTGCCTTTTCCATTCCCAAGTGTTTTTTTTTTTTTTACTGTGCACATGATAAGCAGTATAATGAAATGACAACAAAACAAAACAAAAAAATTAAAAAGGAAAAAAAAGCTCTCATAATCCCAAATCTCTAACACATCAAATGTCTTAAAATTTTCCAAGTTCCCTTACAGATCTCATCCTATGCAAACATATTTTACATAGTTCTAATTATAATGCACATATGTTTGAGGAGACTGGATTTTTCCACTTGATAATTATATTGCAACCATTTTTTTTCTATCTTCTTTCTAAGTTTAAGTGTCAATCATTTTTGCACAGGAAACTCACTTGAGAAAGTTCCTTCAAGCATGTGGATAAAAATGACTCCTAGGACAATGCTTAGCCTGTTGAATACCACAGGTTAGATTGCTATGGAACTCACATTTTACTTCAAGCGCAAATGCTTCATTCCATAATATTATTTGTGGGTAGTGAGAAAATGGATGAGAAAAAGGACAACATGCAGTTTGTGAAGAGTAATGACAGTATAAGATTAGCAGTCCAAAAAGATGTTTATACCTGGGTCATGGGCTTAAACTCACTGCTGTGTCCAGCTCCAATCAGATGGTGGGCTTTGACTCCTACTTCTGCAAATTTTTCATTTTCAGTAATCCACTGGGAAAGGGCATATGCACTCTGTCGTGTTTTTGTGAAAATTATTCCTCTTGCTGTCCCCGCAGTCCTTGTATATTGTTCCATTATGGTATTTCTTAATTTGGTCAGCTTTTCATTTTCATATTCTGGGTTTTCAGCCAGTTTCTTCAACATTTCCTTGTTATCTTTAAAAATAATTAGTTTAAATTAGTAAAATATATGAGTAGTTACAGTTGAAGATTTTATGTAGTGATGAACTGAGTTAAACTATGGCTAATCTTTTATCTATATCTAGTAATCAAGCTACTTAATAAATAAATGTGCCTAGCCAGTATTGCTCAGTGGTTGAGCATTGAAATATGAACCAGGAGGTCATGGTTTAATTCCCAATCAGGGCCCATGCCCAGATTTCTGGCTCAATCCTCAGTAGGGGGCATGCAGAAGGCAGCCTATCAATGATTCTCTTTCATCACAATGTTTGTATCTCTCTCTCTCCCTCTCTCTATTCTTCTCTGAAATCAATAAAAATATATTTAAAATAAACAAATGTATTGCAATCATCTTGACCAAAATTCACATGATCATATTATTGATTGTGATCATACAACTCATGGCTATTCTGGTCATATCAATTAGGAATAGCTCCAATATGAGTGGGAGTTCTTCTTTCAAAATGAAAATATGTGAAGAGGGCCTTTTGGAGAGCTCTTAAAAAGCAACAATTCACATCAAAGAGGTAAGATGCATGAGACCATGCGATAAATGTCACATTGATTCTTACCAAAAAATAAATCCATGAGAAATGTATCTGTGGCATCCATTTTCAAAGGTTTCTTTCCATCATTCTCATCTTCATCACCATCATCGCTACTATCACCACTCTCATCACTATCCTCTAGGACTGCAAACTTCTTTTCTCGCTCATCTTTATAGAAAGTTTCAAGGTGATTATAGGCGTCAATCATTCGGATCGTGTCATTAATTTGCAGGGCCTCATTGTATTTCCTCAAATGCTCTGTACAGAGACGGTCTTTGCGATTTCCTTCTCTTGCAGCTATGAAAGAATACATTATGTTGAGTGAAATAATGATCAAACACACGCCTTAATGCTGTGCTGAGGACTAAAATATGTTTCAATGCAACTCTAAAATAGGTTTCACCTTATTTCTGAAATAAGAAAACAAGACTCAAAATGTGCCGAGAGCTTAAAAAGGGGGCAAGTTTTCCAACTCCTACACTTGCTGTTTGAGTTCTATCGTAATACATCAGTAAGAACACATACCTGGCCCAAGTTGAGTCAGAGGAATTGCATTAAAAAAAACATATTAGTTGAGTTTGCAACTGGAGACAGAGTTGTTAGTATTTATCTTAATATTTTAAATATACAATAAGCAAAAAACTGGCGATAAAAATAAGCTGGATGAATTGATGCCTCCTTCTTTAGATAAGGAACTAAGACATTTATCCTCATCCTACTTAGAACAAAGAAATTCCATTTGCTTTCAGTTTGCTTGGGAATATGTGACATAGTCATCTGAAATCTTGGCATAACCATGGGATAAATCGAATGTTATGTCAAAACCCCAGTTACCTTTTTTTTCCATTTGAATGGCCCATTGTTCATAGGGTTGAGTTCCAAAATCTGACATTGGGCTCACTTGGCAAAAGGTTTGAATCTTTGTCATTATTTCCAGAAGTTTGTCTTTAAATGGATCCTAAAAATAAGTTATACACTTATTCTTACATGTTTATATTGTTAAAGGAATAATATTATCTTTGTAAAAATAATTCCTATATATATATATAAGCACCAGGGGACAGAAACTCAATGCAGAAGCTGGCCCCTGGTGGTCAGTGCACCCCCACAGCCAATTTCCTGTGGTTGGCCAGCAGCATCAGCATCCCTTCTTTCCATGCTTGGCTCTGTGACTGTTGCCTCCTCTCCTGACCCCGCCAGGGCCTTAGGCCCAGGGCTAGAATGGGAAACCAGGGGTGGGTGGCTCCTTTCCCAGTGGGGCTGAGGGCCAACTTCCTCCTTGGGGCTGGCAGCCAACCTCCATGCTTCATCCCTCCTCCCCCACCCCTGGCGGCAGGCCCCAATAGGCCCACAGTCCCTCTTCCATCCCTCCCTCAAGCCAGCAGGCCCTGATTGCCGGCCAGGCTTATGGACCCCACATATGCATGAATTCGTGCACTGGGCCTCTAGTGTTATAATAAAGTTGATTCAGATTATTTGTCTAGGCAAAGTAGTAAGTTAATCTCTGATCACATCTTTGTACATTTATTTTTTTATTGGTTTTTCTTTTAAGAGTCTCTATCTTAAGACATATCCACACCAACACTCTGTAACACTTCTGGAATTGCCAATTTAAAAATTGTATTAAAAAGCTCTAGCTGGTTTTGCTCAGTGGATAGAGCACTGGCCTGCAGACTGAAGGGTCCTTGATTCAGTTCCTGTCATGAGCACATGCTCGGGTTGTGGGCTCAATCCCCAGTGAGGGGCATGCAAGAGGCAGCCAATCAATCATTCTCTCTCATTATTGATGTTTCTATATCTCTCTCTCCCTTCCTTCTGAAATCAATATTTTTAAAAATTTCACAAAAGAAAAATTAACGAGTGATAATATTGGATGCTAATAATAATTTTTAAAACATTGTAATATAATGCCACACTTAATTTAGAAAGCCTACAATCCAATTTAAGAAACATTTCTCTTGGAAGAACTGGTTTTAGCATTATATCAGAATTAAAAGTGAAGAGAGTTTTAGAAAAAGATAGACACAGAAATTGCTTACTGTATGATTTCATTCATATAAAGTTCAAAATCAGCCAAAATCCATCTTTAGGGTTAAAAGTCAGGATAGTAGTTAATCGTTGGGTTATAGTGACTGGAAGGGGAAATGACGAGTTTCTGGGGTGCTGACACTGTTCTGTGTCTTAATCTGGATTTTGGTTATACAAGTGTGTTCTGTTTATGAAAATTCAGTGGTCTATATTAGACACTTAAAATTTGTATTTTTTATGTGTGTTATATTTCAATAAAAAGTATACTAAAAGTTAAAAATTAGGTGGCAAATTTTTAAATATATATATATCCTAAGTGACATCCAGCAATTTAATCCCAGCCCATTTCCCTGAAAAATAAAATAAAACAAAATAAAGATGTCCTAAGACAGTAGAAAAGTGCATTAAACTTATCAAGTAAAACTGAATAACAAAAAGAAAGGGGAAAAGGACACAGACACTGGGCAGTGGGGGCTAGCTCAGGGTGGGAATGGCTGGGGGAGGGGTCAACTGGAAGAAAAGGAGACATATGTAAAACTTTAGACAATAAAGAAAAAAGTCATAATAAAAAAGTGAAGAGAAATAAAGTATATCAAATGTGCTAGTTCTGCTGGAATAGATAAGTACTCTTCCAGAATTAAAACACACACACACACACACACACACACACACACACACACACACACAACAAATCACAGAACTGATTAATGGACAGTGGTCACTAATTAGTTTAGTGACTACTACCTTTCAAACACAATATTGTTTATTACTCATATTTCATATCACTTAATCCTAATATCCTTATGAAGCATATTTTAAATAATTACACTTATTATCAAGTACATATAGGTAAAATTTATCATGCTTCATAAATTTTATGAAAGTATTGACATATGCACTGGTCATAGTCATCTAAAAAGCACAAAGTATTTCACTTCTTTGCCATGTCAGTGTTTTCCTGAGAAAGTAAATATACAAATTAGATAGGATTTCCATGATCATTGCCAACTGTAATCTGGTAGCAACAAAATGGCTCTGTGGAATCTCAGAAAACCAATCCTAGAATTCACTAAGAAAGTAAAAAAAAAAAAAAAAAAAAAAAAAAAAAAAGTTAAAACAAACTATGGTATGATCCATCTAATTTACCTATGTCACCTTTTTTCCCTCCCTCCTCCCTCCCACCCATCCCCCATGGCTTATATTACTGAGCTTGTCTCTGTAAACTGGAAAACTAAAAGAATGAAAAATTCACAGCGGTGCTTTATGGCCTAACCTCAATAAAAAAAATACAAAACTGTAACTTTGCTAAAAATTTAAAACAATATTATTTTGGCGGCCAATATACATCCATCTTTGCATCTTTTAATTGAGTATGATATCGGCAATCAGTTAAAATGACAATTTAAACACATACTTCTCTGGTGTCATCTGCAATGACAAACTTTTTGCATGGCTCTTTTATTTGTTCTTTAAGTTGACAGATGTTTTCCTTCACTGTTTTAATAGTAAATGCATCAAGATTGGCACATATCTGAAAAAGAAACATTTTTCAATATGTAAATAATTAGTTTTCTCTCTCACAATTGACTCAATGTATTTTGTTGTTGTTGTTGTTTTGTGTGTATGTGTATAGCATTTTAGTATTGCCTTACTGTGGATCTGATTAACCAATAATCAATAACATTTGTCCTGATAAAGTAAAAAGGAGCTTCTAAAATCAAGTTGGTGGGTAATACCAGAAAAGCGTGTTTATTTTCATTCTTTACATTCTATTTTGTAGCTGGAAAAACTGACATGGAAGGAGTGTAGAAACTTACAGAAGATTAGCAGAGAATGTTAATGAGAAAACCATATTGCATGAGGCATTTTAAAGGTCATTTTGACATCCGTGGATCATGTTACCAACCTCTTCTACAGTATGAAGCTAGGAGCAGCTGAAGCCCATGTGCCCGGATCTAGATTAGAATCTGTCCTTAACCCCAGCAATAAAATGTATCTCGGAGCCACTAACTGTACCTCTGTCTATTCTACATGATTTTTGCTATATGCAACTTAAAATAGGGACTTAAAAATACAACTGCAATTGACCTTGATGCCAACACACGTCTTGGGTTATTTTGAATTCATTTAACATTTGAGATCAACAAGAGTACTTTATGTGTTGTTACTATCTGGGGACAGCAGATGAATAATACATTTTTAATTACAGATCTGCATGTCCCCATTTTCCCATTTAATTTGGATTACCCAGAATCTGAGAAATACATAGAATAAAAAAGTTAACAGCAAGACATAATTTGAAATTCATTGAGTATGAAAATAAGAAACATTTATAGCTTTATTTTTATTTCAATATCAAATACATCATTAACTTTTATACTAGGAGGAGGTATTTAAAAGAAGGTACTCAATTTGCTGCCACATTTCATTAATTATATTAGCTTTCCATAATCTTTGAGATTTGTTCTGTCATAATTGTTTATTAAGACATATTATTGTTTTGTAGAAAATTGAATATACTTACTTTAACTAAAGCAAATAGATTTTATTTAATTGATGATTCTGGAATACCTCTTTTAATGCACCTGAACCTGAACTTACTTAAAAAACAAAACAAACAAACAAAACAAGAAAGCCCAGCTGGTGTGGCTCAGTAGGTCATTTTGACATCCGTGGATCATATTACCACCCTCTTCTACAGTATGAAGATACTCATCAACACATGAACAAGAAGGACATATGTCCAGGTTGGGGGCTGGATCCCTAGCATGGGGCTTGCAGAAGGGAGCTGATCTATGATTCTCTCTCATCACTTATGTTTCTCTCTCTCTCCCTTTCCCTTCCTCTCTCTGAAATCAATTAAAACACACACATTAAAATAATAAAGCCCAAGAAGTACTGGTATTTTTTAAAATTTTGTTTTTTTTGTTTATACATAAAGTTAATAACTTACTTTTAAAATGTGTTCTTCAGCCTTAGCTTGCTTGGTGGCCCCTCCAACACCTGGTGAGGCTGTAAGTCCCAGGATCTGAGGTAGAGGAATCACTGGTTTGTTTTCTTTCCTGAGCTTATTGTTTTTCAACTTCTGTTTCAAATAACGCCTCATGATGTTATTGTAGACTGCTTCTTTGTTGGTGTGATGGCATTCATCAATGATTATGAGAGAAAAGTCTTAAAAGAAAATACAAATGGTTCATTTGTCCATACCAAAAAGGTACGGTAAAGAAAAACAAACAAAAACTCCCACTAAGTTTATTGTCCAAAATTCTCAAGATTATGCTTTTGTTCTTTAATATAATGTTTAATTTTAAGTAGGCAAGTTTTGCATTTATTATGTCAAATTAAAACTACACTATTCAAAGAGTGAAGTTTTGGGCAGGTTTTAACATTGCATTTAATAATTGTGATTATTTGTACTTATTTCCCTTCCTCTCTCACCTCCTCTTCTAATTCCTCACCAAAAAAAAGAAAAGATTATATATTTGTTCTAGGAGCAGAAGGCAGATCTAACAGGGTACACTAGCATATAAAAAGGACTTGTCAGAACCTAGAATAAAGAAGTAAATGGAAAGTCTAGTGGTTATTTGATGTAATAATGATATTCTTATGCAGAACAGTGATCTACAGTAATTAAAAACTTTTCAAATTTTTTGTTTCCACAAAGAAGTAAAAGGGTTTTAATAAAAACTTAAAGAATAAACCAAACTTACTCTTTTTAAATCAACATTTACACAGCCTCTATTACTACCATTAATATTAATACTAGTTAATATTAATTGATTTAAAAAAATAAATTTCAACCAACCTGACAACTGGACACCATCATCTTCTCCTTTTTCTGAGTTTAAAAGGGAGTTTTCAAGGATTTGAGCTGTACTGATAATAATGTCATAGGATTTGACAAATTTTGGAAATGATATTTTCATTTGGGTATCACCACTTAATCTTGTAATGCGATACCATTTCTTCAAAAATTTTTGAAACTCTTTACGGAAGAGCTGTTCAACTAGTGGTACCTTTAAAAATGCCAAAAGTAAAAGAAAGAAAGAGAGAGAGAGAGAGAGAGAGAGAGAGAGAGAGAGAGAGAGAGAGAGAGAGAGAGAGAGAGAGATTCGTCAGAGTATTGATCAAAGGCCTACTATGCCTTAAGCATTAATAAAGGTGTTTACATAATCAGCTAATTAGACATAACAACCTATTCATCATTCCATTCATTTATCTGATAATAAGCACTTATTGAATGCCTATTAGGTGTAGACATTGTATCTGGGACACAACAATTTTTAAGATATAGTCACAACTTTTAGGAACTCAATCTAGCTGCACAGACCAAGACTGAAAATGAAACAAATAAATACACCATGAAATAATTCTCTGATGGAAACACATTCCAAGTGACAGCAATGAGAAAGAAGTAATCGACTGCTCAAAAGAAGGGCTTAGATGGAATTTTAATCTTGTAGGTCATGGGTCAGTGAAGAGATAAATCAAAACTGAAGCTGGATAAGAAATAAATTTTGAATCGAGGAAGAAGGACCAGGCTAAAAAGGGCTGTGAACACCAAGCAGAGTATTTTAAATTTAGTGTAACAGTTTGCAGAACCTTTGTGAGTTGTGTTACACTTAGGGTTGATTTATTACAGTTGTTTGGGGATCAAGCAGCGGCAACATGCCTGAAGAATTGGATCAGGGAGGGAAAGTGAGAAGGTAAGGCATTGCCCAGGAGAGTGGATGTGAAGTGAATAGCTGCTGGAATAGCTTTGGTAGCTAAGAAAGAACAAAACAACAAAGAGGTTTGAGATAAAAGGTGCATCTCTTTCAGAGACAGCTGGCATTGTCTAGTGAGAGTGTGTTGGCTTTGAGGTGACTTGACCTGGTTGGTGGTTGACAGTATCTTCTCCTTCACTGACAGGCAAATCCTCTGAAGGCCTCGTGCTGCAAGGCCATCAACATGGAACCCACTGATGCCATGGATAACTTGAGGACCAGCACCAGGATGAAGAAGGCATCCCCGGCCTGGCCAACAGAGCTCATCTTTGTAGGCCAGCTGCTGGAAGATGGTGTCACTCCTTAAACTGCAGCCTCCAGGGTCAACCCTGCCCTTGCGCCTCTGTCTGAGGAGTGGCTGTGTTCTTACAATAAAGTAAGCGAAAGAAAATATTAATATGAAAATCATAAGAAAGAGAAATAGATTTATAGTATTTATTGAAAAAAATCTGTGGCCGAAACAGTTTGGCTCAGTGGTAGAACGTCCGTCTGCAGACTGAAAGGTCCCGGGTTCCATTCCGGTCAGGGGCATGTACGTTGGTTGCGGGCACATCCCCAGTAGGGGGGTGTGCAAGAGGCAGCTGGTCAATGTTTCTCTCTCACCGACGTTTCTAGCTCTCTGTCTCTCTCCCCTCCTCTCTGTAAAAATCAATAAAGTATATTTAAAAAAAAAGAAAAAAAAATCTGTGTATAAGTGGACTCAGGCAGTTCAACCTCATATTCTTCAAAAGTCAACTGTATTTTTTTTTCTTCATTCCACTAATGCAGACAGGGGTGATAATCTAAGAAGAAAGTATTCTGAGGAAGAGACTGTGAATTAAATTGAATGAAAAGAGAGTGCAATCCATAGCAAAGAAAATCAGCTCTGAAAACAGCTACCGTAGCTACTTGCTTATTCTGTGATCTTCGACACGTTACTTAATCATCTCAATTTCCACACTAATAAAGTGGGGGTAATATTAACCAGTGGTGAGGTCACTGTGAAAAATTAAATAACAGCTGACACGTTGCTGGTACTGAAGAAAAAAAACTTTCTTTTTGTTGTAGCAGTGAGTGTGGTTGGTACAAAGAGACCAATTGACTTCAGAAGAAAAAGGTTCAAGTCTCAGATCTGGTGATAATTGGCTGGATGACCCCTGGAACTAATTAAAGCATCTGAGACTCAGTCTTCTGATGCGTAAAAAGGGGATATTACAGTTACTTCAAAAAATAGCCAGGTGGTTTTAATGAGATAATATATAAATAATTTCCTAGACTGTAGATTCCTTGGAGGCATGATCTGTATTTCATTTGTTTTTATTTTTCAAAATAGATTTTTATTGATTTCAGAGAGAAATGGAGAGGGAGACATCAGTGATGAAAGAGAATCATTGATCAGCTGCCTCCTGCATGCCCCAACCGGGGATTGAACCCACAACCCCAGCATACCCCCTGACCGGGAATTGAACCATGACCTGCTGGTTCATAGTTTGTTGCTTAAATCATGAAGCCACACCAGCTGGGCTCATTTGTCTTTAAATACCCTCATGCTACCAAGAAATTTAAGATTCTTTATTCCATGAAATGACATAGAGAACTGAGATTCTGTCCATAAAAGGTGAGTCAAATAATCAGCATCTTCTCCTCTACAGAACAAAAAGAAGCTGTCACAGGAGGAAGCAGGTGTTGGAAATCCTGAGATTCACTGGTTGGCAATGACTTCCTGTTGAAGGACAAGAGAAAGCCAGATGCAAGTCTGACATGGCTAATTGGGAGATGTGTGGTCCTTTTGGAGCCTGTTCCTGAGAAGTGACAGAGTGCCTGCCAAGACTAATCAAACCCAACTGCTCCCCACTTCTGCTGAATCATATGGGCTGCATCACAGCATCTGAAGGAACCTGGGATTTATCTCTCATGATGTGGAAGCCCTAGATAGGAAATAGAAAGTCTGGAAACACAGGTGGTGTTTTCATTTCTCCCTGCATTTGAAGGCGATAACTTTGGAAAGGATGGAGAAAGGAAGATGAAAGTAAATGGTATTAGGGAACAGGATTTTTCCTTTCTAGATCAAGGGCTATAATACCTTGTTCTTGGGCCAAATACAGAATGGAGGTTAGGTTGACTTGTTGGGCCACAGATTTCCTAACTCAATAAGAAAGAATTAAATTTATATTACATTAAAATTCAAAGAAATGGAATAATAAAGGAAAACATTGTGACATAGATGAAAGAACTAATGAAGGAATTTCTAGTAATTCTTAAGGAAAAAAGTAGGGAACAGTTTCAACTGTTCAAAGAATATATGGTGATATTTTATTAGGAGGAAGACATCCTTGATGTTAGAAGTTACTCAGCAGAGGTGAGGGAATCAGAGGCAATGGATGAAAGCTGGATTTGAAAGTCCTCCTTCAACTCTAGTACAGTAGTCTATGACACTGTGCCTGATAAGGGAAGTGAAGGAAGCAGATTAATAAAAAATAACTCCTAACTTTTGAGGCTATAAGTTTTGAAGGAGGTGGTATAACAGATAAGCAGAGTAGAAGAGCTCTTTGGAAGGGTAGATGGGACTAAAGTAAGTGGTAAAGTTCAAATGATATTAAGAACATCAACTGAAGTGTTTTTTTATTCAGTTATCTTTTTTTGTTTTGTTTCGTTTTTCTGGGCCTGACACTACTCACTGGTTAAAGAATATGAAATTTCATTTCATTCATTATGAAGGTGAAGAAGAAGGAGAGGAGAAAGATCTAATATTCACTAAGTTATTTCTAGGCTTTAGATAGATCATCAAATTTAAACTTCTGAACATCTATACAGGGTAGTGTTATTTTGTTCCTTTTATAGATGAGAAAACTAAAGTAAGAGAAATTAGTAATTTGTCCAAGATCAAACACTAAATTTATTGTATTCCATAAGACAATAGCCATAATAAAGGGAATATATGAAAAGCTATATGAAAATTTTAATGTATCCCCATTATCACAAAAGAAATCTTAACTGTTCTAATTATGTGCATATAAGTATAAAGGAGAGGTCTTTGGGCATAGCACATATGCATATAAAATGCATTTGGAATGACATAATGAAAATCATTCAGACCTTGGATTCTGAGTATGCTTCTTTAGTACTGAAAAGCAGGTTGTATCTAAACCTGTTATCATAATAGAATTACAAAAGATACAGTAAATTTGCATAGCCTATTGCTACATTTTCTATAAAGAAATAATTGAAAATCTAGTTATAACTAATGGAATAAAAGACTTTCTGAATGGAAAAATATTCTCAATTTTACTCCATAAAATGGTAAAGATTACTATCCACAATTTATAAGTTTATAAATTAATAAACTATCATTGAATAAAGCTCAATAACTACACTGGTTTAAAATGAGACTTATAACTGTTTATAAAGATGGCTTTTGAATGCCCCAAGATATAAATTATTAAAGACCTGTGTTGCATTTAATAATATATATATTTAATACATATATATTAAATATTTGAAAACTAACTTTATATATTATAAATCAGTCAAATATTAATTTTCTCTTTCTCTAAAAATTATATATATTTTGGGGTCATTTATGTTCACATGCAATCTTAAAGAATATGTGGGTAAATATATTTTTATACGTAAGTTATAACGAATTGACAATTTTATAGAAAATTATATTTTAATGGCTAATAACTAAAATTTTCCTTATAACTTGAAAAGCAAAGATTTAAGATAAAATAACTTGACATTTTTCTCTAATAAAACTAAATCTGTGTGGTCTATGGTTACAATTGTCACTATGCAAACATTTCAAAATAATAAAATGAAAACAGAGAATTTTATTTTATATGCCACTTGAATACCTTGTTGACAAGGACGATAACTTTTCTCAGTTCAGATGCTGTTTTCTTGTCCAAGTGATCCTTGGCAATGTAAACGGCCACCCTGGTTTTCCCACTCCCTGTAGGGAGGCATATAATGATATTCTTTCCCTCCAAAGCAGGCTGGGCAACTTCCATTTGGTATGGCCTGAGATTCAGTTCTGGCTCAGGGGATGCTCTTTCTGCCCTTTTCTCTTCATCTGAAGGAGGTGAAAAGAAAGAAAAATAAGGAAAATCCTATATAATAAAAACCTAATATTCTAAGTGTCCAATCGTCTGTCATCCATTCAACCAATAAAAGCATAATATGCTAATAATATGCTAAAGTCGCTCAACTACTCACTATGGAATGCACTGACCACTAGGGGGCAGATGCTCCGACAGGTAGATTAGCTTGCTGCTCTGGTCCAGCCGATCAGGACTGGGCAAGATGGGCTGGACATGCCCTGGAGCCCTCCTGCAGTCCCTCTTCAGCTGGCCAATCTCCCAGGTTCCTCCCTGCCCCCAATCATGCACTGGTGGAGTCCCTCCACCTGGTCTGTGCCCTCTCACAATCCAGAACCCCTCAGGGAATGTCAGAGAGCTGGTTTCAGCCTGATCCCACAGGCTAGGCTAAGGGACCCCACTAGTGCATAAATTCGTGCACAGGGCCTCTAGTAAATAAGTAAAGAAATGGGCAACAAAATGACTAAGGCTAAGAATCCCTCACACTGAACATAGATCTCTGTGTTTAAATTGCTTTTCATGTATGTTCCAAACCAATTTATTTTCTAATTTCTGTACCAAATGGGCATAGCTCTGTTTGTATTTGCAGGATTCAGCTCAGGCCCTGGGGTGCAGAGGGAGTGAAGTGATAGGGTAGAGGACTGGAAGGGGGCAGCATGTAGGAGTCAAGGGCAAGTACAGAAAGGTGCAATATTGGCAGTTATGGTTCTTTTCTTTTTTAATATATATTTTATTGATTTTTTACAGAGAGGAAGAGAGAGGGATAGAGAGTTAGAAACATCGATGAGAGAGAGACATTGATCAGCTGCCTCTTGCACCCCCCCCACTGGGGATGTGCCTGCAACCAAGGTACATGTCCTTGAACAGAATCAAACCCGGGACCTTTTAGTCTGCAGGCCGATGCTCTATCCACTGAGCCAAACCGGTTTTGTAGAGTTATGGTTCTTAATGCATCACATTTTCCATCTTTTTGTTAGGCCATTATTTCTTACATGTTTCTCTATTTGGTCTTCCACTTACAAATCAAGAGGACTGGGTAAGTGGGAACCATCAGTCCTACTTATTCTGTATCCCCCTTGATTTTTACTGCAAAAATATATTATAGCTGAAGCTACTTTCCTTCATTTGAAAAACTTATTTTGACAAGCAAACACTCAAAAGCCTGCACATTGATCTATCCACTTACCTATCTTAAATATCTAAAAATGGTGGCCTAACTGGCATGGCTCAATGGTTGAGTGTCAACCTATGAACCAGGAGGTCACAGTTCAATTCCCGGTCAGGGCACATGCCCAGGTTTCGGGCTCAATGTGGGGCATGCAGGAGATAGCAGATCACTAATTCTTCCTCATCATTGATGTTTCTATATCCCTCTCCCTTTCCCTTCTTTTCTGAAATCAATAAAATATATATTTTAAAAATATGTAAATAAATTAATTTAATTAAATTAAAATGGCAAAAAAAATCAAATTTGGGGCATTTGAACCAACCAGATTAAACTGAAACAATATTTATGCAGAAAGGGAAAAACTCCTCCCATACTTGCCTTTAATTTATAGATTTTCATTGAATGACAAACATTTTTTTTTGTTAGTTTAAACTGCACTGTAACATTTAGTTTTGAATTGTGATCTTTATTGTTCTTTATTGTGTATGTTTCTATATATTCCTATTCTTCTGAAACTCAAAGCACGATAAATTTTAAAAAACTCTAATTAACATTTCTAAATTTAAAATACTGATAAAGTACTAACGCACATGGGTTTTATAAACATTTAGATAAAATTATTATAGCATATCTTGGTTTAAATATGTTTTGTTTAGAAGTGACCATATTTACCCATATTAGCCAAGGGGAAAAAGATCTAAACATGTATAACTTATCAGGTGGAATGCAGGAAAGTAAATATTATATCAATTTAAAAACCTAACTTATGCTTTATGTAAGCATGAGAAAAAAAATGACATGACAGCAATTATCAGTATTTCATGACACATGAAGTAAGTGATCTTTCTCTTATCGATGATCGCAATAAAACTAAGCTAACATAATCCCATTAACTTCAAAAAGGTTGCTGATGGTTCCATTTCGGCAAAGGGACGATTCCACTTAACTGCGTTTTAACTTGTTGTGATAGTACCATCTGAACAGGTAGGAAAATTCACACCAAACACCACTTAGCAAGAGTCATCTACTAACCTGGCAGGAAATTTGCCTTCTGTATGGTTGAGTAAACACAGGTGCAATATATTTAAGATATCATTGGATCAGCTGCTGATTCATCTAATATGATTTCCAGAAAAAATCTTTCAAAATCAGCAACATTTAAAAATATTGATATGCAAGTTTTCTCCCCATCCTACTTTTGAACTCTGCATCAATTATAGTATTTCATCTTCTATTATATTTATGAAAGGCTCAAATTTATTTAAGGATATCATTACTTCTCCTAAATGACTTTTATAGATTCTCAAAATATTAATATTCCATCTATATTACAAGCATTTATCACATAACTTTTCTAAAAGAGCCACGATATTTGCAAAGGAAGATGTATTTTAAATTATGTTTAACACCACCATCCAAAAATTTACTTTTGCTAAATTGCTTTTTGATCTAGAAAGTTTGTCAAATGATATTAGCAAATTCCCTGTTTTCAATTTCACTCTAGGTACACTTCTGCATAAATTTGAAAAATAATAATAAAATTCTGCTTTCCTCTTAATAGCTGCAAGTACTTTTTAAAATCATTATTTCCCCCTTTTGTTTTTCATGCTTACTTGTAAAATCTTGGGTAACAAACATTTAAAAGAAAAATTAGAAAAATTTCCAGAGTCTCTATCTGAGGAATCTAAAACTAAATCAAGTGCATAGAACATCAATATCTCTTATGCATATTAATATTGTATTAATAAATTTAAGAAGGCTTAGACAACAGAAAGGGCCGGTATGTTCAAATTTAAGTCTTGAATTAAAGTATGACATTGCACTGCTATATAACTAGCCATGTACCATTAATTCATTTTGCAGCAATTATTTACTGGGTGCCTCTTATACATACTCATGTGCTCTCAAGAATACAGTCCTTGTCCTCAAAGAATCCAGTGTCTAGGGTACTATACTGCGGCCACAAAAAATATCTGGGTATTAGATAGGTAGTTTAATTATCTTCCACATTTTTTAGTCAAGTCTAAGAAACTTGATGGGTGTCCTCAAGTTTAACAGAGAAGTATAGAGTGAATATGGGAAAAATTAGAGTTGGATTCACTGTGAGAATAGCGTCCAAAGAAAAAGGGCTGGGTGAGTGCTAAATATTCAACCTGATTCTTGCCTTATCACATCCTCTGACATAGGGATAGAAGAATGTACTCACATAAACAATATAAGCAATAAAAAGAGATTTTTCTCTTTTCTGTCACCAGAAGGAGAGAACTGGACTCATGTCAATGAGCCAGGAGCCAATTTCCTTCATAAAAAAAAAGATGTTTGGGTTTTGTTTGTTTGTTGTTGGTTTCTTTTTGGCTCTCTTTGAAAAGAAAAAATCCATTAAATGCAATAATAAAAATGGTATTTAAAATATGCACAGGTTTTGAATTACTTTGCACCCTTCCTCTAAAACAAATACTGATTAAGGACCTTAAAATTATACTATTCATATAAATGGTCAAAAAAAATGAAACGAAATAGGGCTTAAATAATAACATTCTATTGGAACTACACCATGTGGCAAATTTCATTCTCACATTGATTTTGACAGCTGAGTTATTCTTGGAGAGAAAAGGTCTGTCACTGCATGTGTTTGAAATTGAAAAAATACTCCTTTACCTATAGTATATCACCACAAAAACATGCCATTCCAGCTGGACAAATATTAATAGGTATTACCTTGAAATAGTAAGGAAACACTTTCTACATATCATCAGACCAATGTGTATTCCAAAAAAAATTTGCTACTTTGTGTTAAGCAGTATATCTCTCTGAAAATGAGACACAGGAAAACAAAATGCCTCCCACGGTAGAATTAGTATATTAAAACTTAAAAATCATCACTAATTATATTTTGCTATGGCATAATACTTCAGAGAGAAACATGTTTTGATAGTGGGCCATGTCTATGATCTTATGGCCCATTATGTAACCTTGGAAAATGGACAAAGGACAAGTGAAAGAACATCCCTTTGATGTCAGCCTCCAAGGTGAAAACAGAATCCCAAACATTGTAATTAATGCTTTTCAGTGATTCCATATGTGTTTAACAACTAGCAATTCATCCAAACCTTTAAAAAATTATTTCTATTTCATCCTATACGATGTACTTAAGGGAAAATATTTTCATAATTTTATAATTTCAGAATTCTACTACCCATGGTGCAAAGCAATTCTCTGTCCTAAGCACTGACCCCATCTAAAGCATCAATGGATAGCCTTTGGAAATGTGTTTGTCTTCACGTGTATTTGCCTTTGAAAATGTATTTGCTTTTTAAAAGTAGGTTGCATTTAGATTGCTTTATCACGTCTTGCATGCCACACTGAGCACTGAAAATCAGTAAACAGTTACATTGCTAACAGCTCGAACTAGACAAAATGCCCTGCACAGAGAGGATGGCCATGAAATGTTTATTGAATGAATGAATGCTCTTGAAAAGCCCTTACATAGACAAACAAAAATTAGGACTAGTTCCAGAAGTTTAAAACTACCCATAAAATGATACATATTAGCTAGATTATACTTTGAGTTCTAGAATCAATAGCATTTAATTTTAAAATCATAATTAAACTATTGGGCAATAGGCATACAAAAAACTAAATTTAATCCACAGAAATAAGCACATGACAAGAACTTCATAAACACTGACTGAATTGAATAGAAAATGAATCAACACTTTTTAGTTAAAATTAATGTTAGGACTGACATTTGATGGGTTGGGTTTCCTCAAACCAACTTGTCTGTGACAAGAGATTTATTATAGAAGTCTTATTGAGAGAAGTGATACACTTCAATTTGGAAAGCTTTTAGGGCAGCTGAGCATCCTTATGTAAATTATTTTGACCCTTTTAGACCTATTGTGGATCTAAATTTCTATAATTCTTCTGAGAATGCAGGACAATCTGAAGTACACAGTATTTTCTAAGTATTTACTACAACTCAACCACAAAACAAATAAAAACTAAAGTAATTTGTTTCTTTTTTTTTCTTTCATTTTTTTATTAAGGTATTATATGTTTCTTAATTTGCCATTTCTCTACTGCTTCTTAGCTGGCCACATTGCAAAGCATTTTTAAGGATTTGTTAGTTTTAGTGATGATATCTTGTAAACATATAGAAAAATATAGAAAGGTGGGTGACAGACATGAGGGCCCATCACCCATTTTGAAAAGATGTTACTATTAGCTCAGTAATAATAATGGAAACACACATTCAAAGAACAGAGATTTGGAATTGATCAGATGGACAAAAGTTAGGAAATCTGACAACAGAAAGTGTTGCTCACGTTGCTGCTTCACTTATTTATTGTTGGTGGGACATTCAACTAACGCGGAGGGCGATTTGGGAGACACCTAATAAAATTCTCACTTAGTGACAAGAACATTTGCAAACTCTGCTCAATGCAAGAGGTATTCATATAAATTGGAACTCTTTAGCCACATATGTAATTTCTATTTCTTCATTTAAAGAAGAACTCTTAAAGTTTTTATTTAAAATGTATTCTAATTTAAAAAAAATAGGGTTTGGGAATAAATGTACCAAATTGCATACAGGATTTAAAATAGTCAAATTAATTGAAACAGATTTCATAAATAAACCAGATAACATGATCCTATGGAATGTGGCATATGCCAGACCAAAAAGCTATGAACTAGATCAAAATTAGAGAGCTTGATTCTAAGACTTTTGTAGGTTGTACTTTGAAAGGATGTGAATGGCAAAGTTCCAAACCTCCTTCCACTGGAGAAAAGAATTGCTTTAATTGCATAAATACATTAGGGAGGGTATGAACAGCCCCCATGCTTTCCACTATATGGTGTCTTATTTCACACTTGTTAAGGTTTACACAACAGTGAGGCAGTACCTGAATCACTTCCCATGGTGCCTGAATCACTGCCCATGTTGCTGTTATGTCCAAGACTTTCATCTAAGCAGTTGACACTTCCTTCTGCCAAACTTGTGTCTGATTCTGCAAAGGAAAACATTTTAAAATATTTTAAAAATATTTCTGAGAATAAACATATTTTAACTACACACCTCTACAGCACACAGTACATACAGTTCAGTGCGAGTAAGGAAGGCACACCCAGATAATTATGCACAAAGGTAAGAGTTTCTGGCAAGCTACATTTAAACACTCCACTGTGGATGAGAAGCCGCGGGTAGTGAATCGAGTACATATATCTACTTAAAGTAGCATACATCCAATACGAGAGGAGCTAATGCAAATGGGTAAGGGTTTGTGATTTTTGTCAGCCCCCCCTTCATGTAAATTTTGTCCAAGAAAAGATCTAGGCTTGACAATGTCATTTACACAAAAATATGTTTTATAGAAACCATTGAGTTATTTTCGCATAAAATGGTAGGTAATGAATAAAGCAAAGAGATTAATAAAGAACGTGGATTTACTCGTTAGTTATGAAAACAACAGTTCAGTAACAAACGTAACTGTAAGATATTAACAACAATTGGCTCGGGAAGAATATCATGAAAGCCTGGCACTGCAGTTGTAGCTTATGTGAGGTTGCAAATACATTTTTTTTTTTTACTGTAATTAAACTATGCTTCTGTCAATGGGTTGCAGTTAATGTGAGTGGCAAGGGCACACCATTCATGTGTTAATCCCAATGTTCTGTTTTCAGTTCTCAGTATCAGTTCTATTTGGAAATCTTTCCAAGGGAAGACTTCCCTCCTCGCTGTTTATTTCCAAGGATGTTTGCAGTCCAGTCCTCAAGGATCAGAGCTATTGCTAAACTGGTTGCAATACATGAAAGATGGTTGCAAATGTTGGCTTTGGAATCCGGAGGACCTGTGACATTTGCTGTTGCAGTTGCTCTGTGCCTGACTTCCTGCATTTAAAATGAGGCTAGTACAATTTCCCCCATCGGGCTGGATAGACATTTTCTCATGTCGGTGCAGTTAGCTCTGAGCACTTTCCCTTAATTCTGATGATTAGCAAATGAAATAAAATTTAAGCACTTGTTGTACTACTAGGGCGAGAGTTTCAGTTAATAATGTCTTATAATTAATAACATTTCATAATACTTATAATTGCTAGATAACTATTATTTCATGCTAAAGCTGCTAAATGCACTAAATAAATTACGTATGTTAATGTAGTCTTTATCCATTGAAAGGAGTCTGGGTGTCACACATTTGGGCTGGAAATAGAAGTGGATGGAAAACATACACATAGGATGTTATCGACAAAATTTTTCTGGAAGGAGACAATATACAACTCTCTAAAACTACAGGTACCTTCTCCTACATTAGCCATTTATATTTTTAAAGCTAGGTGTCTTCAATTATACTTACACACTGAAAGTGACTCTTTGTAGGCATATAGTTTGACAAATGTATACAGTTTGTCACCACCATCACAGACAAAATTTTTCCATCATCTATAAAGAATCCTCCCCCACTTATAGTCAGCTCCCTCCTGCTGTCCCCTGGCAGTCACTGGCTTGGTTTCTGTCCCTATACATTTGTCTTTCCAAAATGTCATGTAAATAAGTCTATGGAATGTGTAGCCTTTATGTTTGGCTTTAACTTAGCGTAGGCAGTTCGAGATGCACCCATGTTGTTCTTTCTACCAGCAAAGCGTGCCTTTTTATCGCCGACTAGTATTCCATCGAGCATCTGTGACATCTATGACCTCCCCCTTGCAACCTGGGTAAGCCCAGTTAGCTTAGGAAAGAATGGAGTTACAGCCAATGGCAATCAGAGGTATCTGTCTTCAAAGTTAAGAGAATGCTATTAAGAAATTTGTAGGAAAATTCTCAATGGACGCACATACTGTTTAAGTACATTAGCACAACATAAATATACTAATGTGAAAATGCTGTGCTTATCAGTTGTTGTAGATGAGCTCTAAAACTCGGATTTGAGGAATCCCTTATGATTACACGGGAAACCTGTACATCTCGCTGAGAGATTTTAAATGTGGCACTTTGCAATCCCCAGAGGTATTCCTTGTTAGGAGCTCGGAGGCGAGTGTGGGATAGAGCTGTCAAGGAGAACAGTGTTTTGGGCAGATGTACTGATGAAAAGAGAATGTGATTTGTAAGAAAAAGGCAAGGTGTAAAATGAGATGGGGAAAATACCATTGCAAGGATAACTCCCAATCTTAGATATATAGACCAAGATATTAGAGACAAAAAAAAAATAATTTTGACATGCTTTTCATATGCTGTATTAAATGTGATACTGAGACCTAAAAACAATGCCAAAAATATGGATAAACACTAATAAATATTATCTAAAATCTAACACCATAAAGTTTCCAACTAAGTGTAATCCAAATGGAAATTACATTTGATTTCTATTTTGTTTTCTAATTGCTAACAATTATACCATAAACTTAAACCTGCTCCATGTTAGTGTATAGTCAAGATTTCCCCCCAGGCTTTGTTCTAACATGCATGTGATTGGGGGAACCTATTTAATGCAATGCATGCAAATAATTAGTGAGTATTAAAGACAGCTTCTACCAAAAAAAATAGGGTATGATTAATTAAGTTTGTGATTTGGATTAACTTCATCTAGTCAATAAATCTGCAATGTGTCCCTGAGCTTTGTGCTTTCACAGATGTCATATAAAATACATTTTAAACCCTCAACGTTCTGTGTGGTACATGCCCATTATCACCTCCATTTTATAGGTGGGAAACCATAGCTCAGAGAGGCTCAGTCTCTGATTCAGACCACACAGCTGGAATAGGCAGAGGAGGAAGCCCATATTATCTGATTCTATGTCCAGTATCCCAGTGCCTTTACCCAACACTGGGCATGGCTGATAATCTGTGCAACGCTTTGTAAACAGGCAGACAACCCTGTAGCCATATTTCTAAGTGAAATAAAGTTGTCAGTTTTTTTTAAGCATCTCAACATTTTCACTGTGATGTCAAATTTTCACTGTGATGTCAAATTTTCAATCAGTCTTGAAACAGTTTGTCTTTGCAAGAAAAGTTAGATTGTTTTATTTTGTTAATATTTCTGATTTCATCCATAGACTTTTGTTTACTTTACATTGAAATATCCACATTTGTGCTGAAACTATTTTCTGCACACAAATAAATGAAGAATACTTGCATCCAGTTGATAAAATTAATTGCAATATTTCTGCTAGAGATCATTATGAAAGTGAAAAGGAATAGCAGAGGTCTATTTGTTTCTCATTTTAAAGATATATGTTTCCAGTTTCTCAGTACAAAAATAAGTTTGTTTCCTAGACTGCAAATGCTTAAGCATTTGACATATTTTTATTTTTTAGAAATATAAGTACTCTAGGAAATAACTTTAATAATAGAAGAAAGTATATTATATCTCCTATAACATTGAGAATATCTGCCCAGAGATTTTCTTCCTGAATTCATTTTTAAAAGTTACATCACACACACACACACACACACACACACACACACACACACACAGCCAGATTGAGAAAGTTCTCAAGTGGTACCAAAAGTAAACCAAGCTATTGAGTTTAAAAGCCAAGGATTTCTGCAATGGACTCTATAGAAATATCTTGTTTCACTCTGTGCTTTTCACGGTGTGTCAATCTGAACTGATGTCCTAATGGATAAAGTCACGGGCCTATGATTTTAAAACAGATTAGATAAAATCGAGCCAATTGGAGACTGAGGGCTGACAGGAAGAGAGTACATGCTATGGAGTCAGACAGGTAGGTCTCCAGATCTACTCTCAGCCACTGCTCACAAGTGATTTAACTTTTTAACAATTTGCAATACAAATAGTAGTTTCTACTTTCTCATTTATTGTGAGAATTTAGCAAGAAATAAATCATGAGGAGAAACATCTGAAATTCTTGTGAAGTTGAAGCTTAAAGAGGCTTTGAATATTGGAGTTTTATTACATAATACATTTAGTTAACTTTTATATAGGTCTTATTTCTTCTAGGAAAAATACCAAAGCTAGTTATGAAACAGATAAGAAAATGCTGGTTATTTCTGTTAAAGAATAGCAGTTATTCATATCAAACTGTATGAAAATGAAGAAGAATATTATTTCATGTTTGTAGAAAATAATACAATACAAACAATACAGTAAACAACACAATAAAGAATAGCTTTGCTTACGGCGATAGTGTCTACAACCAGTCCAAAAGCCACAAGAAAAACTGCTTCTCTGCAAGCAAAACCTGAACATTTTAATTACTAATAAGGCAGAAATATTAACTGGAATCTAATAAACTTCATATTTAACATCCTCTGGACCTTAACTACTTTAAAAACATTTAAAACCCATTTGGAAATTTATGTTTAAATTCTGAAAGTTAAAAACATTCTATTGAAGAGCTCTTGATTGATGGCCTTTCTAGATCTATTTTAATGTAAAGTCTGCCCTCTGCTGGAAAATGCCATTATGACAATTTGTTGATAAGGAACATTGTGTTTTCAACCTAAGACCTAAGTCTCATTAGGTAAGACACAAATTACTTCTCACTTCTGCTCCTACAGGTAATGCCCCTCCTATTTTCAGCCTTGATGCACCTCTGCGTCCACCTTTCCTACCGCTGGCCTAGGCCTCCTGCATTTGGGATGTGGTTTTGCATCACAGCAGGAAACGATGCAAGGGGCCTTGTGCCCACTGAGGAAGAAGGTCACCAACAGACCCCGTCCTCCTGAGAGGAGCGCTGCCAGGGTCTGCAAATAGTCTAGTTCCACTGTCACGGCCACTTTCTATTTATCCTGGTTCTGACCTCCTGATGCACGTGAGCTTCAGGTCCTTCGCCATTCCTCCCTCCCTCCAGTTGCCTACCCCCGCAGCCCAGCCTGTCCAAGGCCACCCCTAAGGCTTCCCACATGTCACACAGGGGCACTCGCACAGAGCCAGCCTGGACTTCTGGAGTGTGCTTGACGTTCTCGCTACTAATAATGCATAATTCCTTTTCTTTTGACATAATCTTTTTTGAGAGGAGATAGATGACTTTTATTTTCAGCTAGCTCC